TAGTTTACATTTGTACAAACAGGTCCTGAAATATGATTCTTGTATTAGTTTATCAGTCATATTTCAGTATTTTTGTCACTTCTTCTGAACACGTTTAAATGTGAACAGCATCCTATTATTAAAAGATGAATCACAAATCTAATCGCAAATGCATTTTTATTTTTTTATTTTTTTCATTCAGTCCTAATGTTGACAGTGGTGATGAAGAAGGCCTGACTTTCATATGGAGCTCTGTCTTAATGAGCTGCATCTGCCTCTTCCTCCTCCTCCTCCTCCTCCTCTTTGACCTCTGCTCTGACCCTTAGGCACAAAGCCAGTTAACAGCTTTGATCCATTGTAGAAGACACCTGCTTGGAGAATGCGCGAGTAACACCCACAAGGACACAAATAAGGAATAAGTTGAGAAGTGTTTTGAGGCGAGATTAAATCAAACTGAACTGAAATTGCAATTTGAACATTTGCAATTAGAGCAGAAGGTGCAGGTAATGAACACTCTCTGCTGAAAATTACTGCGTTCTGAGAAAAACGAGATAAATCAACAGTTACCTAGAAACATGTTTGAAATACTTACAGCATATTTCATTGTTTTGTCTTCTCAGAAATCTCAAAATTAATAGCAGCAGAAGTCTGACAAAGGCGGATGATGCCGTTAAAGGTCCCATATTACATTAAATTGACTCTTATGAGCTTTTAGCCATGTTATAATGGTGTTACCTCATCAGAAACATACTTGGAGTTGTGTTCTGTTTCATTCACACATGCTTGAGTAATCCTGCTTTATCAGGCAAGCTCCATCCCCAAAGCTTAAAATGTTCTGTTCCACCTTGCGATGTCATGAAGCTGTAGTTTTTAAGCTACTTTTTACCTTTTGTTATGTAGAGATTTTTTACTTCAGGGATGAAATCACTGAAAGGTGCAAGTAGTTTAAAAACACATAGGAGCACTTTTTTTGTTTGAATATATGATAGAAATGTATACTGTGGAAACATTTCTTTCAAACTGTTTATGTGTAAATGAATGTGATTTCCACCTAAAACCCAGACTCTTCATTAACATGTGTAAAGGTTCAACAGACACAACTGTCTCTTCACAAAGCCCTTTGTTGTCTTACCTGTCCTCAACTGTATGTTAATTTAGCACCAGCCTCTGAAACAAAAGTCACTCTGCTTTGATATGTATGTAACTTGTATTTCTGTATAAATAATCAGAGCTCAGATACTGGGGGAGATACTTGGGGAAATGGGGCAAGATGTGGTAGGGACACACTGCTGGTGGAGAGAGGCTGTTGGGCTCTGGCCAGGGCAGGCCTAGGTACTGTCTATATCTGCTGTAACAAGAATAAACCTTGGTCTATAGTCCAAAAACTCATCGGGCTTCGCAAATGGATCCATTATTTATCTTCAAGAGATATATAATTTTTTCCCCAACAAATAAAACACAACTCCTGGTGTCTTTAACAACATTATAATATAGATCAGAAAATAGCATAAAATGGGCCCTTTAATACAACAATCAATGATGAGCAAAAACCTCTGCCAAGGCATTTCTCGTATATTGCAACGGTTAAAGTATTGTGACCAAACCTTGATTCAAATACGTTCTGGGGGTGACTGTTCCTTCCTATTCCTCACAAAATATGCACAATTCCATAGAAACAATATTGGGGGGGTTTCTTTTTTAAGACTGGATTAGTGAGGGAACGAGTATTACAGGTATTAAATTACATGGAATGCTTGAGCCATGATAATAATACTGCAACACTGCAAGTAATCAATATGAATGTAAACAACAAAGAGAGGTTGCAGAAAGGGAAGCAATCAGAGGCTATGTATGCTGGGAGTTAAAGGAAGACTAGAATAAATAAACAATAGAATATCAACAAATATTAAGATGAATCAAATGAATTGTTTTGAGTCTGAATTACTGTGTGAAAGTAAATTGAATACGGGCATAACCTGACAATGAACTGGGCCTGTAATAGATTTAATGTAATAGATAAAAACAAAATAAACACTTTAAAGAATGTGTAAAATGTTGCAGAGGTGAACAAACTGTGAAGCAACACAGTCTTAACAAAGAATTTAAGGGAGACTCCCAAGTTATGGAGTTGCTTTGTGTGGAATTACAATTACAAAACAAAGATGTATGATGCAACTTTACCATTAATAAAGGATGGTGAAATCAGTATTGAGTATTGAATCTATTGCTTATTATTGAAATTAGTATTGTGACAACACTATGAAGTAACTGTTTTTAATCTGTAGTCAGCGCTTTTATGATCACTAAAGCATTCAATGACATTTACTCCAAGTATTGTATTAAAAAGATGATTCATATATGCACCGCTTTTGCCACCATAGTTTCAGTATAAACGTGTGTAAATCAGTGCCCTCTCTGTGCCAAACACTGATCACAAATGAAGATAAAACAGTGTGTATTGTGTATCTTATATAATGTGTTCTCACTGACACCTCTCTAGGCAGAATAAACAGCTCAGAATTGGCGTTCACAGCATGAATGTGGTAATTCTTAAGACTCTACTTACTACATTTAGCAAAGATCTTGAGTGAGAAGAAGACGGCACGAAGAAATCACACAAGATTACATGGCTTTGTTAATTTTGATACTGAGGAATAGACTCGATACTCAATACAGATTCCAATACAACAATGATAATAAAAACACTCTTTAATTAGACAACAGAGTGTAATTTTCAACATTAAATCATAGTACTTTCTTTTATATTACCATGTGGTCTTATAAAGGCTATCCCCAGGTTTGACTACCCCAAATTTAAGACTTTTGTAAGACCTTTTTTAAGACCACTTAAAAGAAAATTAAGACCAGCATCGCAACCATTATATGGGCGAAAAACACCAGATCCAATTCTAATAATGACCAAACAACTACCGGTACTATATCTAGAATCAGAAGAGCCACTGTGGATTAAACCTACACTTCCCCATGATCCATCCAGCGTCTTCCTCCACTCTACTGATTGTTTTGTTCATTGCCACCAGCACCAGAAACCAAAATATTTTTTGCGCATACTCCAAATTGGACGTTCATTCACGTTACACGATTTCACATTGTTGTTTTTTTCCTCCCTCCATTTAACATTGCAGCCTGTTTGATAGGAAATAGGATAATGAAATTTAATACATTTGTGAAAAAAATAAGACTTGGACAACATAAATGAAGACTTTTTAAGGCCTTAATTTAGGAACGTGAAATTTAAGACCTTTTTAAGACTTTTAAAACCCCGCAGCTACCCTGTTATATCCGTGTAATTCCTCAGTCATCCAGGGAGGTTCGATAGTGGTCTGTGGGCGTGTACTAGTCTATGTACTCTTATACTTGTTGTGATACAGCGCAAGATCATTCTAAAGCTTCAGGAAAGGTTCATTTCTGTCCTGAGAATGTGACTTTATATATATATGATATTTTGATACTTTTGACAGACAACCCTAGTCAAAAATCTGACTGATGTTCTGAGATGCACTTAGAAATGGATAATATCTCAATTGTTTACTGAAGATACATGGTATACATATTCAATACATATAGAGAGAATAAAAAGCGCTCATTAAAAATATATTGCAGAGTAATCTTTCAAACATGGGTGTAAGTAAAGAGATATTTCTTTAGTGGATAATTTTCTCATTGCTGATGGATTGCCCTAATATCATTTGAATATTATCATCAAGATTAAACCATAGTGAGTGAGTAGTAAAGGAGTTATCAGTTATATTGCTACTATAGGATTTAGAGTGATAAAGGGAGCCACTCAGGTTTGTTTACAAGAACAGATATGGATATGCTTTTTCAAAATGCATCAACAATTGCCCACCCCATCAAAGCAACATCTCAGTGCTTCATCTGACCCAGACTTCAATGACTGGACAACAAGTTTCAGCCTAGTACCACAGACTTGGGCACTTCTGATCTTAGATAACTATTGCACACAACAGTAGACTGTATTATAGACCTCTCAGCTGTCAGTGTAAACCAGGCCTGGCTTGTCTCTGTCTACATGAGCCGCACAGAACAAGGTGATGCTGCCAGCCGCCTGACACTGACACAGCCAATGAATATGCACGGGTCAAAGGGGTCACGTGTCTCCTACATTAAAACAATTAAACGTTTTGACTGACGGAATACGAAAGCCATTCATTCATATTCAAGCCTTCACCAAGTCCTGCCTGTTCCAAATGGATGGACTAGCTCTACTCCAGCATCCCCAAATGCGCCCACATCTTATTTCTCAGGTTGTTTCCAGAGAGGCACCCCTGCACCCCCTGCACCCATGCCTCTAGCTCATGTCTCCATATATGGCTCTCTACGTCATGCCTGGCGCTGCTGATGCTGAGATGACAGCGGGCTAATGATCCGTGAGGAGGATTTAACGCCAAATGGTAGCGAGCTTAGCTAGTTCTGCGACCAGAAGACACATCGCCTTTGCGTTGTGGAGAAGTGCGCAGTTTTACGCACGACCCATGCACTGTGCTTGTATCCTGTGCGGTGCTTATTTTGATCGGAGCATGCCCCTTGGCGATTGTCCCCATAATGTTATGGCTGCGCATAGGGATTCCCTTACAGTCATTCTGGCGTTACAAGATGAAGCTAAAGGTCATTTGAGAGACTCGCGATTACTGTCTTGGGGAGGGGGGAATAACTTACTACTGCTGTAATGGATATTATATGAAGGACTACAATGGAATATACAAGGCTAATGGTTAGCTTTGTAATAGCAGTGTAGCTACCACAGAGAAAGAGCTCAGACCGGAGCCCGGAGCTCCAGCAGAGGCAGGGCGAGCAGACCCATCGGTGCAGCAGCTCAGCTAAACAATCACCCGGACCAGCAGCGCTTTAGCTCGTTAGCCGTGTTAGCCAAGCGGCTAGCCAACTCTGCTATCTGTCCAGGACCCAGCTAGCTACTCAGTCCTTAGCCTCTGTGGGTGTTATCCTTGTCAAATACGGAATATAAAACAAGAGCTCACCGTGAACGGAATGTCATTCACGCTTCCCACCGAGTAGCAGCAGTCTCCCGGGTTCACAGCCCCAGTCAGCACCTGGTGCAGATGCATTTTGTTGATATGTTAGCAGCAAATGGTTTTTAATTATTTATAACGAGTCCACCCTTTAGGTTTCTCCATCTAGCGACGAGTGGGAATTCCATCAGTAATATTGACGCTGTCCTCGGCCTGGAAGCTCTCTTCCAGGGCGAAGCGGAGTGTGTCGGAGGAGCGCGGCTCGTCCCGTGTGAATGTAATTTCAGCCGGTCGTGTCATCTACTCAAACATGTAAAACGGAGCGTCCGCCGCCTCTCGCTGTCAACACCATCTCTGCGATTAACCGGGAGAGCCGAGCGACGAGCAGGATCTCTGCAGGAGCGAACCTGACATGCGCGCTCACGACGCGTCCAGGCACGACTAAATCTACATACACAAACACTGGAGCAGACCGCACGTATTTCTCGATTTCTTGTTGCTTATTAACTTAGTTATCTGCGAGTATAAATGCTCAGCTGTTACTACTATTGTTATTTAGTCCAAGTTAGACTCCATAAAACATAAAAACGAGTACTGTGACTGAGAGTAGCACTGTTCTTGCTCTTTGGTTCTGCGCTGAGGCGCGCCTGTGTGAGCCTGTGGCCATCTGTCGAGAGTTCATTCATTCAGCATAAAGGTTTAGTGGCCCACTGTTAACACGATTGTGAAAGACAGCGGATATGACTGTAGCCCAATTTATCAGGAATATGACTAAGAGTCTGAATGTGGGTCTTTAAAACCTGTCAACTCATATCTGCCTCAATTCTGTATAAATTATAATTTTATGTCATTTTTCTTTGTAGAAGCAAAACTATCTTGAATCATTCTCTAGGCCTGGGGGTGGAGCAGTTTCACTCTTAACTTATAAGTTAGCCAGTTTTCTTCATAAAGTACCCTAGTCTAGGTCTATACAAGGCAACACAGGACACAGGCTAAACGATGTTATGTGGTTTTTAATCCTACAATAATAATTTCCTAGCAGGCCTTATGTCTCAGGCGTACTTAATGTCTATTTTGTTATTTGATGTATATGCTGCAGGAAAAGCAAACTAATAAGCAAATCAATTTGTCTCTTGAAAGATCTTTGCTCACAGTGTACTTATTTTGAGCCCGACTGAGAGTAGAACTGAAAAGAACAGTAAGAAAAGATAGACCTACTTGACATTTGACGGAGAACAGAGAGCTTCTGGAGCAGGATGTCCTTTGTTCCTGCCCTTCTTCTTATCTCCAGCCTCCATCAGCCTGAGCAGACTGCAGTGAACAGTACAGTAGGATTCATTGTTTTGGAATAGCGACCTGCAAGTGTATTACTGCAATGATAACACATGTTCTCTTCTAAATCTATGCTTACATCAAATACTAATTTACTACATGTTGTGAAAACAATAACACTCAGAGCAGGAGTTGCAGAGAGGGTGACACAGCTGAGAGGGGGCGGGCCTCTTATCACAGCAGGATATCTGATACAATGAATACTTTATTATCATTAATGTCATTTCCATGTTTTATTTATATATATTTTTTTACTTCTAAGTTAATTTTGTAGCTAAATCTTTGCCAGTATAATTACAGGAATTGCTGAAAATGAGGCATGAGACATAATGTATAATAATGTGTCTGTAGATAAACATCCAATGAACATTATGTGCTTGTTTGTGATTTCTACTAATGAACTCTCTTCTATTCAACCTAACATGCTTATTCTGATATACCCTAATCATTCAAAGGGGGTTATAGGGGCTCTTATTTATACCACTGTATTATTTATGCATTATTTGTTAGGTTAGATCGACAGAAAATCCCTAATGAAGGTCGACATTTGAATTGTGCAATATTTTTTTGGACTTTTTAAAAAGATGATCACAGATTTGGCTGGTGCTTCGCTCATTGCAGTTGGAGACAGATGCATGGGCGTTTAATTAATTTGAATAAGTGCTAATGACCCACTGAGACACTGATGATACAGAATGATACACAAAATATGAAGTTGTAGCAGGACTATATCAGCCAATACATTAATGGCCAGTGTTAGGAAGTAACTGAATACATTTATCAAGAATACATGTTCAGAATACTAATTTTGAGTAACTATTATGGTGCAGTTACTTTTATATTTGATGCTTTTCAGAATATAGTTACTTTTTAAAATTTAAGAATACATAACAACACTTGATCACACCGTTTAGGCTTCAAACTGCACAATATTAGAGAGAAGAATACAAAACTTCGCTCCACATAGAGATAAATAAATGTGTAACAAATGATCAAAGAATCACAACGCTGTCTTTACTTCTACGTTGCATTTTTACGCCACAACTGCAACTTGATGTAACCCTAAAAGTATTCTGTATATTCAAAATACAGTGCTCTGATTGGTAACAGAATACATTACAAAATACATTTTAATGCAGGTATTCAGTATTCTCTTACATTAAATACATTTTCAGAGTATTCCTCCAATCCAATGACCATGACCAAAGAATGCACACAAATATATGACCAAAAATGAGTCCAGTTTGGAGAAGTGGGATTGATGAACCCTGATCGAGTTTGTTGTGTACAGTAAAGTGTTTGCATAGATTGATAACATTCAGCGATCTGTGCCTTCAGTATGTGACCTGTGTTCACATGTGATTAGTGAACTCCTCTGTCTGTGTAAAGTCAGGCTTCCTCTCAGAGTGATGAGTTAGCACACACACCTCAGGCATCACAAGACTCTTAATCTGAGTGAGAACTGGTCCGTGCAGCTGTGTATGCAACATAAGCAAAAATAAAACACTCATTCATATTTCTCAACAGTTGATCAAATCATTATTGAACCTCTGAATTTTTTGTGAGTTATAAGAAGTTATAAGAAAAAAAAACTTGTGTCTAAAATAAAAATAGAAATGATTTATAGTCCAAATGTTGTTAGTTTAGTGTATTTGTGCATTTTTAACATTTTCAACATTTTTTTTTTAACATTACATGCATACATTAAATAGAAGCACACAGCCCGAAATGAGTAGGCTGAAGCAACTGCTCATGAACACCTACTCCCAATGCTATAAAATGCACAGGCCGAGTTAATTATTTATAAGTTTCTATACTTATTAATCCTGTGTTGGAATGTACACAAGCACGTGACAGTATATTTGGAAGGGCATCTGATGTGAAATAAGACATACAATAACTCAAGGTAGATAATATTGTGAAAGGGATATCAGAATGAATACTGGAATACTGAAACTTGGACAACTAATCCGACTAAATGAGAACAAAAGTTGTAATAGAAATGTGTTTTAAGTTCAGTATGCTACACTTTCTGTACTTCAGACTGTGCAGGTGTATGTAGAAGATCATGACAAGATTATTTGTGAAAGGAATATCATAATGCATTAAAACCAAATAATATATTGATTCAATCAATTGACAACTAATCAGATTAAATGAGAACTAAAGGTATTATTCAAAAATATAAATCTGTTATAAGTTCAATATTAACACATAGCTACTTTTTCTCTATACTTCAGACTGTAAATGTATGTGGACTTAGATTGTAATTGCACGGCTTGATATTTGGAAGGGCATCTGACAAACAACATGTAGAAAAGACAACAATTACTCCAGGTAGATCACTTGTGAAAGGCATATCAGAATAGATTAAAACCAACTAAAATATCGGAGAACTAGACAACTAATCTGACTAAAAGAAACAACTAACCACCTAACCACCCACCCACCCATCCATTTTCTCCCACTTATCCGGGGCCAAGTCGCGGGGGCAGCAGTCTAAGCAAGGACTCCCAGACTTCCTTCACTTCGGACACTTCCTCCAGCTCCTCCAGTTCCTAGGCCAGCCGAGAGACATAGTCCTTCTAGCGTGTTCTGGGTCTTCCCCATGACCTCCTTCCGGTGGGACATGCCCGGGAACAGGCGCCCGGGAAGCATCCGGAACAGATGCCAGAGCCACCTCAACTGGCTCCTCTTGATGTGGCAGAGCAGCGGCTCTACTCCCAGCTCCTCCCGTGCGACTGAGCTCCTTATCCTGTCTGTAAGGCACCGCCCAGTCACCCTGCGGAGGAAACTCATTTCAACCGCTTGTATTCGTGATCTTGTCTTTTCAGTCATTTCCCAAAGCTCATGACCATAGGTGAGTGGAGGAACATATATTGACCGTTAAATTGAGAGCTTTGCCTTTCGACTCAGCTCCCGCTTTACCACAACAGTCTGATACAGCGACCGCATCACTGCCGACACTGCACCGATCCTGCCTGTCAATCTCACGCTCCATCCTCACCTCCATCCACCACTAACCACTTAGGTTGTTATTCAAAATAGAAACGTTATAAGTTCAGTATGCATTTATATATAGCTCCACTACTACTACTCTATACTTCTTCTATCCTTGTAAACAGTGATGGGAAGAATAGTTTGAAAATGTATTTAGTTACAGAATACTGAAAACCTGAATTAAAGTATCATATTCTGATACATGCTGCAGTCAGAGTACTGTATTAGTACTTTTACATAGAGTTAAATTTTAATTATAGTAGAACATGACACAACATGGTATTAAAACAGCTTTATATTTGTTTCACTGTTTGTTATGCATTTCCAATCATTAAGTGGAGAAGGAAAAATCACCATTAAGGTTATTCTTTTGATTTAGGAAAAGTAGCTGCATTCTGAATACCACCAAATGAAATTGTAACTGTGCCTGAATACAGTTACTCAAAATTTGTATTCTGAATAGTGTATGTATTCTTGGCCCATATATTCGGTTACTTCCACGGCTCGTAAAGGTGTGTAGACTGTAAACACGTGTGGATATTAGCTTGACATTGCACTCTGCTGACAAAGAAGAACAACGACTGTCACAGTGAGTCTTGCGTAAGTACATTTGATTACATCTCAGATAACTCATGTACACAGGAAGAAGAAAGAGAGGAGGGGAGAGAGAAGGAGAGAAAGAGATAGATAGAAAGAAGGAGAGAGAGAGAGACCAGGTGGCTTGTGTTGTGGCAGCGTGAAGTGGCCTATAGGCATTGAGTAATAGCTGCAGCATACACACAAAGTATTGCAAAAATGGCCACGGTTGGACAGAGGTTAATCCAGTGCTCGTGCAGTCTTGTGCCGCTGTTGGGAGACACAGCGTTGATCTCCGGAGAGCAGAATTAAATGCATTATAGATTTTCTCATTTCATGGCTGGCTACAAGCTCCAGGCTGGGCCTCGGAGCACGAGTCTCAGCTGCTCAAGATGGATGTAGCCGAGTCCACAAACTGTTAGTAATAATGAAGGGGTACAAATGTGAGTACGCTGCACGCTGCGTATACATATCTGGACACTAATATTGGGTTTTCTGGCTCATCTGTAATATAAAACCCAGCGGGGCTTTAAGTGAAATTGTACTTTTATAGCGCCATGGAACTTTTTCTCATAGATTAGGGACGGTGGTATTTTAAGTTTACCACGCATTAAAGTGGAACTAAACATCAACATTTTTTGCTACTTTTGTCAGTTTAACATCTACTTGCAACGTGGGTATGGGTGGAATTTACTAGCCTGATTCATCAGACGGTTTCACTTTGTGGAAACCATTTGACCTCACAGCATAAGGATTCATTCGCAAAGGTAG